TTATATTCAATTTAATGATTGAAGCCCAAAAACACATTTATGAAATGCTATCAAATCAACTATTATTAATTAATTATGAAAGCAAGCAAATTAAAACAAAACATACAAAAACTATGCAAATATTTTAATACTTAACAGGCGTAAAGAGCAAAAACCCAACATTAAACAACAACAAAACAACTCTAGTTTAAACAACAATAATTATTAATAATTTATGCCATACAAGAAACATACATAAATAAACCTAAACATATATATTTATAAGTAACTATATTAACAAAATAAAAAAAAAATACAAAATAAAACACAATAACAATTAGAAGAAAGAAACAACAAAAACTACATACTTACATTATTTGCGCCTATTTATCATATTGTTGTTTTTGCCATTCTTTCTATATATATTTATATATGCAAATAGATATATATTATTATTATTTATTTGTATTATTTCATTTTGAATAAAATGTTTACAAAAGAGAAAGCAGTTAGGCCAAACGCGCGGCAGAAGCTAACAATAATATAAAATTTAAAAAATAAAAAAACTTAAAGAAAACAAAAAATAATAAGAAATTAAATATACATAAATAAATATCAAAAGGTTTTAGGCTACATTTTGACAGTTTTAAAACGGGAAAAATACAATGGAAACCTTGTAAACTTTGTTTCGTTGGCCAATACTCTGGGCGTCGTATATGGGCGACATAGAATGAGAAACATATATTATTATCGTACAGGTAGCAGAGCAGAAAAAGAAAACGGAAATTAAAAAATGGAGCAGAGCGGGAGAGGAAAATATATAAATGAACAAGTAAACCAGTTATAATTACAACAATTAAATTATTATTAATAAATAATTATTATACATGACAACTTATGCAAATGTAATAAGTGAAAAACAAAAATTATATATATATTAAATAAAAAGCAAAAAACTGGCAAGTTTAATATATAAAAAAAAAAACACAAAAAAAAAACAAATATTAAGAAAGAAAAAAAAACAAAATGGTAAAATTACAAAAATGCAGAAAAATATATATTATATATACTTTATAGACATTTAAACATGAAAACAAAATGCAAAGAACAAACTAAAAAATAAAGTTACAAATAATAAACTTTTACCATAAAAATTTCTGGTATTTCTTATTTAAATTTGGCGGGTATCACATCTATGCGCACATCCGGCAGCTCTTTGTGCTTAGCACAGTAAACCAGCATGCGCAGATCTGGCAGCACTGTTTGCTTAGTTGCTTGGTAACGAGTCACCCTGTGCTCTAGTAAATAACGAAGATTTGACTGCAGGCAAAAATTTTCGCATTTTAAAAATTAATTTATTAAATAAATAACTAAAATTATAATAATATAAATAATGACTGACCAACTAGATCAATTAGCTGCCGCTGAGCTGCAGCGCTTACAACGCCAACATCGCTCGCTTCAGCTAGATTTGCGTGGGCTGCTCGAGGAAAAGGCGAAGCGCCTGAAAAAGCAAAATCACATGATTAACGTATTGCAGCAGGAAAACGAGAAGCTAAAGGAAGAAATCAAAACCTTGGAGGGCGGCACTCATGCTCGTCGAAATACCAATAAGGAGAAACAGTTGAGCAATCTGCAAGAGCAGCAATCGGAGCTGCAGCGCGCCTATCAAAACGAGCAAACTAATCTGTGGGAACTAGAGGGTCACATACGTAAAATGGAGAAAGAGATTGACGCACTGCGTCGCAATGAAGTGCCCGACAACTGCTACAAGGACACCATCTGCAAGGTGCAGAAGAGTGTCGTCAAACTTGAGAACCGCCTTGATGTGGTCAACAAAAAGTGCAGCGATGTCCTAACGGAGAATAGCAAGATGAGAGATGCCATCAATCATATGCTGCAAGATCGGTAAGGGTTAATGAGATATGATGTTTGAAGCATACATTTACACCTAAATCAATTTAGTGCAAATTTCAACGAGATGTGGCAATCAATGGTGACCCAATTCAACGATGGCAAAAAGCTTATCATGGACCTCATTGATCAGTCCACAATGGCATTCGATCAGCGGCAGGAGCTCTGCACAAAGCTATCCGTGCTCAAGGATCGCAATGAGAATGACAAAGTCATGCACATCCAGGAGATGCGAGAGATGCAACGTCGCTTAGAGCACGACGCCAAGCTGCAGAAATTCTTCGACATCAAAGGTCAGAAACGGCTCAATCCGGAGCTGGAGCAACGTGAGCTGGATAAGAAACAGAGCCAGAAGGAAAACTATGAGCGCCAGCTGTTCGAGTATAAAGAGATCATAGAGAGAATCAAACAGCTATACGGCGAGGATGACACCGAACGTCTGGTGGCACAATTCAAGCGCCAGGAAGACGAAAACTTTGCGCTCTTCAACTACGTGAACGAGTTGAGTCACGAAGTGGAGGTGCTCAACGATACCACACAAGAATTAACAGAAGAGATTGGTAAGCTATGAGCTTGTATGAAGAGAGATGCCTAAGGGATGATATTATTGTTTCTTGTAGAGCGTCAGAAGTCTGAACAAACAGAGAAGGAGCTGAAGCTCAAAACTGAGGCCTTGGACTATTTAAATGACGAACTGGCGCGCATAGAACAGCTGGCCAAGGAGACGAGGGAAAAGAAACACAATCTGAGCAACAGATTGCAGCAGCTGCTCAAGGGCATAGAGGATATATTCAAGTGGGTTTACTTGAGACATTATTATATGTACATATATATGTGTATGTATATTTTACCCATTTGTTTTATAACTCCCTCAGATTGCTGGCTTGTGACGATGCGCCGATATTGAATGTGCTCAGCTCGAAGACCTTCCTCACGGTGCACAACGTGAAGCTCTTCATAGGCGTCATCGAGCGTCGAGTGAATATTATAATCAGCACCATTAACATTGAGGATAATTCCAACAGGATACTGGCCAGAAAGGATCGTGTGCCGAAGTTTAACATACGCGAATCAGCTAAAATGAAACACTAATTGAAGTCTCGAAAAGGAAAACACCATATATTTATTTAATTTAACTTGTAAAGTAATGCACATAATTCACATATACAATATATATGTATATATATTTATACCTATATATATATATATTTATTTATATCTGAACAATTGTGACTAATCTCATGTACTATATGCTTAAGTTTATTGCATTGAACATAAGTCCTTAAACCAAATAAAGATAAATTAATATTGCGGCTCGTATTGAGCAATTGCTATGCACAATTTAAAACTAAAAACAACATGCACATCATATATATATATACAAATAGATGTATATCATAGTATGAATAAATAAAAGGTTTATAAACTTAAAGCTTTGGATTGCAATGTCCAATAGGCAAATACTCTACGAAAATGGTTGGCAATTGATAATTGTAAAATTCAACAAGTCATTCGAATATACCTAAAGTTACTTTATGAAATATTGGTTTTGTGATTCAAAATTCTTTCAACAGGCTTCGTTTAAAATATCAACAAAAATATAGATATATATATATACGTATGGACTACAGTTAAAAGTGGCCAAGAGCCAGTATAGATTCAGATTCCACATAGACGCGCCTACAATCCTCACTCGAATGCTACGGCTCATATGCAATCAAATCGCTAGCCAAAGTTGTTGGCACGGGCGTTGTCAAATCGCGACTTTCGCCGTTGAGCAAATAGACAGGTACATTACTGGACGCCACTTCAATCTCGTGTGCGGCTATTACACTGCTCGGCTCCAGCTCGGGAGTGGGCATACGCGCTTGCATAGCACTGGGCTTCACGCTTGCATCCTCCTCGCTGCACGATTCCCCATTGTTGGCCAACGTTACATAGGCGGCAATGCAGTCTGGCACAGGTGACGATGAAGCAGCGTGAGTGGGTGAAGAGGCAGGAACATCAGGAACAGAAGTAGCAACGGGAGTAGTGTTACAATCAGTGGGAGTATCAATATTAGCAATGTCAGCAGTGTGAGCACTACCAGCAGTATCCGCAGTAGCAGTATTATCAGCAGTAGCAGTATTATCAGCAGTAGCAGTATTATCAGCAGTATCCGTAGTAACAGTATTACCTGCATCACCAACCGGAGCTGGACCGTCAGCATAGCTCAAAATCTCCTGCTGCAACAGTTTCTTCTTTTTATTAAGGTTCTTAATCCTTGACCAACAATGCTGCTTTCGCCGACGACGCTTGCCTAGCTTTCGCTGCTTAGGCTGATCCAATTCCTTCTAAAAGAAGAAGCAAACAAGTTCTGTAAATGTAAATGTAAATGTAATGAGCTATGATGTGCACCTACGTTAATACTGTCCTCAATGTTGCTGCGTGACATTTCCAAATTGTCAATGTGGACACGCTTCAGTCTTACAATAGGCATAAGCAGCGCCGTAGTCGCTGTCGTTGCTGCTGTCTTTGCTTTCGTCTCCACCGCAAAGTTTTTTATTACCTCCAGATCTCTTTCTAGCTTATCTATATCATTACGTAACTTCATATTTGCTGCATACAATTGCTTTTTGACCTTAAGGTCTGACACCGATTGAGATTTTATTGTAGCATTCAGTTGCCGCTTCTCGTCCATTCTTTTACGTTGCAGTTGCAGCAGACTCTTGTAGAATTCCACGTGCTCCTTGGAATTGTCTGAGAACTTACGTCGGTCAAATTTGAACTTTTTGGCCAAGGCCTGCACCTCAACGTCTATGGAGTTCTGTATGCTATCAAAGGATTTTCGATGACGAGATGTCTCAATTGAGCTGTGTGTGGAGGCGGGCGGAGTGGGCAATGCACGCTGTGAGCCTCGAGGCGGCAGCCTTTTTGGTTGCGGTGTCGGTGTGCCACTGGAAGCATTGCTCGTAGTGGGCGTTAGCTGACTCGTGGGCGTGGGCGTAGGTGTGGGCGTGATAGCGGCTGGCGAGCGTGACTGCTGACCTTGGCGACCTTGGTCACGTCGATTGCAGGAAGACAACGATTCATTAGTCCGTTTATCACAGTTTTTCTTCGATTCCAGTTTGCTAAACATTCGCTGGCCGGCAAGTAAATGTTCTAAAACAATGAAAAATCAAACTATTACAATCGATATTTATAACAGGTGTAGGATAGTATTACCTTTACGCCCCATCCACTTTAGAGATTCGATAAAGTCCATATTTGAACTGGGTTTCGTCAGATGCGTTAGTGATGTATACTTTGTTTTATTATAACGCTTAATAGACGGCTTAATATTTTTGGGGGATTTGGTTAACTGGACTTTCTTCGAGGAGACCAAAGGTTGTGTACTAAATGTAACCTGTTTCTTTTGCAAGGAGGCTTCGCTACTATAACTATTACGACTAGATGATTGATGGCAGTGATGATTGTCATTGGGTTTAAATTTCGTACTAGCCCCCGGAGTGGTCTTCCTGCGACTGAACGACGCTTCGTAGAGCAGCTCGGTGGTTGTGGGACTGGCTGATTGGCCTGTGTCTGAATAGAGCATGCAGCTGGATATGGCATTATCATTGAAATGCAGCTGCTGCTGTTCCTCTAGCTCCAACAGTTGTTGTTGGTTTCGTTCCTCTTCATCTTGCTCAGCGGTTTGCACACACTGATCCACAAGATGTGGCGGTGTCTGCGTTGTGGATACCAGATGCAGGCTGTCCCTGCGGCAACTGTAGCTATTGACTATGCGCGGCATTGTATAGGTGGCAGCAGGAGAGCCATGGGCAGCAGAAAAAGCGGAGGACGCTGAGGCAGCAGATACTGTTGCGCCACCACTGGTGGCACGCTGATATGTGCGCAAATTAATGGGATAGATGCGAGTTATGGGCACATAGTCGTCATCGCCCACTCCGGTCGCCTCGTTCGAGTTAGAAGAGCCACTGCCATCCACATTCGCGGGCACACTGAAGTCAAGTGAGAACATTTCCTCCTCCTCGTCCGATTCACACAGATCCACAACTTCGCACGTGCTGTCAATGCCTCGATACAAGGCCGTGGCACGTTTTACAGGCTCCAAGCGACTGGCATTGCGGCACAAGCGCTTGAGGAAGTCGGGCGGATCAGGAGCTGGTGGTGGCGGTGGTTCTTGCTGCGTTGCACTCGCCGATAAGAACAAAGTGCTGATCAATACCAAACCAGATTCAGAATCAGTGTCCTCTTCATCCGAGTCAAGGATCTGATGGCAAAAATGAAATAAATAATAATAATAGCAATTCTGTAATTCTGCTTTTGTAAATCTAGTCAAAACTCTTATATATTTTACTCAGCTAAATGTTGAAGTCATTTTATGAGCAGCAGAGACACGTTCGCCTGCACACCAACCGCGACTAACTGCGTCGGTGCAGGACAAGACGTGAACCGTCTGCTCAACTCAGACCTTTTACTAAAACATCATTGTGGACAAAATGAAGGAAATTGAGCGATTTTCTTATAGTAGCTGACTTACCAATTCGCTGGGATGAATCATTCGATTGTCCATTTTGCTTGCTGAATGCAATCCTCGGCAGCACTGTTTAAGGCTGAGATATTCCAAAATGCACCGCGTGGCCGTGTTAGGTGTATTGTATTTAGGCAGATGCTCTATGTAGGCGGGATTGTAGGGCAGCGTGCGAGCAGGTCGCATAAACTTGATCGCAAACTCAAAGATGCGCTGCTTGGTCGACTCATTACGCTCCAGTCGTTGCCAATAATAAAATATAATAATATATTGAATGTATATCTTATCGGGCAGCTCGACCTGACTGAACAGGCCAGTTGTTGAGGACCATTCCGGAATAAGGCGGCTTAAATAAAGATGTATGCAATAATAAATTATACTCTTGATAACGCGTTTTAATCCGCTACCAACCTGTAGAAGACCGTGATTATATTGGCCTGGCCATACAGCTTAGGTATGGCGATTAGCGTGCGCAGCGTGTTCTCCTTGTGCAGAGCGGAACTCTCTTCATTGGCCTCGACATACAGACTGAGCATGCTGCCAATTCTCTCAATGATGCACTGATCCTTCTCGATGCGATCCTGTGCAGCGCACAGCTCACAGGCAATATAATTGGCCACAATGTAGCACCAGCGATCACGACTCAGGTTCCAGCTGCTGGTGGCCGAAAGGCGCTGGCCGAGTAGAGTGTGTATCAGGTCCGAGAGGCCGATTATGCTGCGCGCCAATTTGCGACATATTGTTGGCGAGTTCTGCGCGTACTCCAGCTCCTCTCGTATGGCACTTTTGATTAAGCGGGTAAAATAAGATCAGAGAGGGAGGGGCTATTTTAACATATGAATCAGCTCTTACCTCTCGAACTGTCTGAGTAGTCGATTCATAACATTGTTGAAGCTGTCATCATGAATGGCGGCTATCGCTCTATAAATATAACGGCGCGTCTCAGTCAGGTGCACGAATTCCGGCACCGCAGCCGTCGCCGATGTTGACGCTGCGCCACTGACGCCGACAGCGGCAGCGGTCGGAACTGTGCTGTTTTCATCAACATTCATGCAGTTGGTTCGTGTCGTGCTCATCATTCTACAATGCAAGAGAAGGTCGCAAATCAACAAATTTTTGCATTGTTTGAAGAGAAAGTCCCGTTAGCCCGACTGGCCCTACATGCATATGCTCATATGAATGTGCGCACATACACACACGCTCAGCACAGCACGCACACACGCACACGTACCGCAGAAATGTTAACTGTAATGAAAAAGCGGCGCGCACACTTCTCGCACACTACACTCCAAATATCGCGGGTGCCCTGAGTCCAGTTACGAGTTCACAAGGCATTTGCTTTATATTCAACATGTTTTACTCAACTTTCTGCACGAGCATTGTAATTTATATGCTTTGCAGACTATTTGTGTTTTAGAATGTTGAATGCTAAAATACACACGAAAATGCATTTAATCGGTCACACTTGGCCTCAAAATAATTTACAGTGTGACTGTATAGGGGAAGCGTCAAATTACCAAATATGGCGCAACATTCCAATGTTGCAGTGCTGCAAAACGCAAACAGAATAGCGCGAAATTTGAATCATACAAAAAAGAATTTATTATTTGTTTCTAAATATACATATATTCAAAACATTTAATACCAATTATACGATTTGTTACTTGCATTTTACATGCCTCCAAATAAAATTTACTACTGAAATTCATTTAATTGGAGCTTAATAAAATATTACATATTAAATAAAACGCAAGCTTTTTTTTTTTTAATGTTGTTACCAACTTTTTTATTAAGTCCATAATCAGTTCTTTCTCAAATGATTCTACAAATTCCAAATAGAAAACTTAGAAGAGTACATATTTAAAATTTATAGATTTGATTTCTCGGATACCACATCTTCAATAAACCTGAATTCTAAGCTAGAGGCATATCAAATGCCAAATGCTACACTTTTCCATTCATGAATATCGCGGTTGCAAATCACAAATTAATTTAAGTTATATATTTTTATGCAAACAAAATGGGACTTAAAAAGTGCCACGGCCAGGATTTGGGGACAATGATAAAAACTCATTGGAATTGGATCCACGACCGAAGACAAGAATAAACTACAGAATGTACGTTGCTATTTGTTATTTTGTTGTGTTTTGTTTATGTGTGTGTGTGTGTGCATGCTGTGGTTTTTGTTGGATTATTTGCATTGCTCCTCTTGTTGTATGTTTACAACTCGTCCTTCTTGGGCGCCGCCTCCTCYTCCTCTTCGCTCTCCTCGGTGGGTTCGGCATCAGCCACCTCACCGTTGGCGTCTAGGAACTTGACGAAATCATCCAAAGTCCTGTCCAGATTGTAGTCGATGACTTTGTTGTCATCCTTGCGGAAGTATTTGATTGTTGGGAAGGATGAGATCTTGATGTTCTCCAGCTCGTTGGCAGTGGAGTCCATTTTGGCAATGACAATGTCGGCATTATCCTTGTATTTCTCGGCCAGCTGTTCGTAGATGGGAGCCAGCTGCTTGCAGTGACCGCACCATGGAGCATAGAACTCAACCAGAACGGACTTGCTCTTGTCCAAGGCGACGCTCTCGAAGTTGCTAGACACGAGAACCTTGACGGGTTGCTTGTCCCAATCCTCGGGCAGCTCCTGTGAGAGCAAATGCTGCTTCAGTTTGCCGTCGAGGAACTTCTGCAGGAATGCTTCAATGGATTCGGCCGACAGATCATTCGTTTCAGGCTTGTATTTGGCCATATCCTCCTCCAACTTGATCAAACGGATGGTTGGCACTTCCTCCTTGTTCATTCCGAAGAACTCAAAGATGCGAGTGTGATCCTCCTCATCGGACGAGATGGTGACGAACAGAATATCTTCGCGGTATTTCTTGGCAATCTCCTTCAGTGGGTCAACATGAGCCTCAATGTGGCCAGCCTCCTTGGAAACAAAGAACAACAGATGCGATTTGATCGAGCCGCCGAAGATCTTGGCAGCTGACTCATGGTTGAAGTCCACAATCAAAGGCAGAGATTGCACCTGAGCGAATTTCTTGAGGTTTTCCTCATTCAGCTCTCCCTCGAACACGGATTTCTTCTCATCGAATGGCTTGAAGAGAATGACACCATTGTCCTTAGCCTCGTATTTGGCAATAACATCGGCATTGCTGGTGATACCAAAGACGAACGAATCCAAGGCGTTGGCAGCCTTGGTGAAGACCTTGGCCTCGGCCGATTCAACGTCCTTGAAGAAGCCAATAATGGCGATCTCATTGTCCTGCAGGAACTGCTCGGCATCAGCCACGCTGGTCAAGTCCTTGGCTGGTGGGCCAGTCTTCTTGGTCACCCAGGCAATAATGTCGGCGGCCTGACGTCCACCATTGTACTCCACAGGCGAGCCGCTGCGGAAGAACTTCAGCGTGGGATAGCCACGCACCTGATACTGCTCGGCCAGGTCACCCTCAACGGTGGCATCAACCTTAGCCAACTTAATGGGCGATTCCTTCTCGGCCAACTGTTGGGCAGCCTTGGCATACTCGGGCGCCAGAGCCTTGCAGTGTCCACACCATGGTGCATCTAAAACGAAGAAGATGAAGGTTAAAATTCGATAAATATGACTTTAAAATGAATAATTTATGAAATATAATTGAGCCTATCGCAGCGTATCATATTAATTTAGTTTATTAGAAAATTGCGACTTTAACGAATAAATTTCAATAGTTGCTCTTATCAAAGGCTCTAACAATCGGTTTTATTATTATAAACAGATTATATCTGTATATTTTATTTTGTTCTCCATTTGTACGATTCATTCGCTTGGAAAATCAAATTGTCGCGTAGGCGTAGGAGTGGGCGTGGCATTCAACTATTTTACGCTACATTTAACATGGTACAGCAGCTGTTGGAAATTATGCAAATTCCACGTGTTGAATTCTGAAGAGCTGTAAGGTGCATACAGGCGAGAGCGAGAGCGCACGAAGATGAGAGAGGCGAGGCAAGAAGAGAGACAAAGACACAATGACATAACGTCTGCGTGTTGTTGATGCTAACTGCACTCTTATCGATGGCTTAAGCTGACGTGGCCTTGATATATAGTCAAGAGAATGATAAGATTCGCAAGGTGAATCGCGAAGAGCATTATCTGATCGAAGCCAAGTAACGGCACTCGGCTCTGTTGCTGACGTTGACACATTGCCAAATTGTCGAATAGTGAAACGTAGCGTAAATAGCTGAACTGCTGGCATATGCAAACCACAGGCACAGGGATAGCCGCTGTCGCTGCCACAGCAACAGCCGCTACATTGACGCACTGTTTGGGCACGCGCTTTACAACAAAAACAACAGACAACAAAACACAAACAAAGAGTGTAACGAAAACTGAGAGCGAATTAATACAAAACGAACGAGTTGAATGAACTTCGGCTGCTGCGCAAGCGCGAGCGCATTAAGCGTTGCGTACGGTGTTAAAAAGGGCAAAGCAGAATAGAAAGCAGCGCACAAGAGAAAGACGGACAACATTCTTAAGAGCTATTTAGCTAACCCAGTTCCGAAGCGACAGTTGCTTGGCAACTTTTTTGTTCTAAAACGAAATTGATGAAACGGATGTAAGCAAGCAAGTTGCGAGTAGGCGACTATAGGCTATAGCTATTGCCACGCCCGGGACGAAGCGAAAGCAATGCAATACGACACGCCGTATTGATAAAAGTGAGAAATATGAAAATAGAAACTGCTGCGGGGCTTATCTCGCTGTGAGGACGCCGTGCGGCCTGAAAGAAATAACGATAAGAGTAGGAACGCAACAACTACTTTGACTGCCAAATGCCAACAATGCTGACCCTCTTAGGAAATGTGTCGAAGAATTATCTTCAACGATTTTGATGACGCGCTACTTTTGCTTTGCTTAGCACTTTAACATTTAACTTAGGCGCAACAAATGCCAGCACATTTGTCTGCTCTCGCTTTTTCACAGGTGGAAGCCCAGTGTGCGCAACAGAGATGGTCATATACAAAGAGAGAAATTGACGCTGAACAGAGAGCCAGAGAGTGACAGGGAGAGGAGCTGGGCGCAAGACATATCCGCAAAATCTTATCGATATGCGATATACGATAATGGATAAAAACAAAAAAAAACTATAGACAAATAAATTTTCTCTCTCAACTAAGACTTCTGTTCTCTTCCCGCCTTCACAAGCCACAGGAAGCTTCACGACTAGCAACAACAATGTGACTGCTGGCTAAACTGCCACGCAGACATATTTTGCTTAGAGCATCATACTGCTGGCTGGCTGAGAAAAGACCACGTAGCCTCTTGCCGATTTTCATGAATCATCTACAATAGCGGTAGCGATTAAGCGGCCGGCGCTGCACCTTTTTATTTATGTTATGTTAATAGCGTTGCAAATAAGAATACTCACAGAATTCGACGAGTACAAATTCATTGTCGGTAATCACTTGTTTGAAATTGTCTACCGTTGCTACAATGACACCTTCCTCCAATTTAATATCAGCGGCCGCCACGTAGGACGCCGCGAGCAATGCACAGATTAGGAATTTCATCGCGGGCACTTAATATTTAGTATATATAAATGCTTATATGTAGGCAGATGTATATCACACAGACACACACTATCGCAACTCCAAAGACAAAAAATTACTACCGCACAAGTTGCAAGCTAAAATCCAAATGAAATCGTCTACGTCCAAGCGACAGAACTTGGCTCCATATATACATATATCGAGCTGTTCGATTACATGAATCACTGGACAAAAAGAACGACTGTTTCAGCTAGTTCATTTATGTTATATTGTTTGTTGACTTAACATTATGCGCCACTGTTAACAATACCTTCAAGTTTGAATTCCATACTTCCTTTTATTGTAGGCAAAAATTGCATTTAACAAAGAATAATAATAAAAACAAAATAATGATAATCTTGAACTTGTTGATTTACATTTTCAGTTTATTATTTTTTCTTTTACTTTAAATTAATACAATTACACGGATGTTACTCCGAAAACTGTTTAAACAGAACTGAATGTTTTTAGTTTGCCCAGCTGGTAGTTTTATTTACTTGTAACTTATTTTTAGATAAAAACATTTGCGCGTACCGCATTAAGAATCCTCATAACAATCAATGTTGTATACAATTATATAATACATACGCTATCTGCGTAAAAATGCTCGAACTTAAATAACTCACTGGCGTTCGAAAGGTGAAATCTGCTGAATACATTGCTCAATTATTCTGTAGAGAATATCAGCTGTCTGACTCGTACTAAAAGGTTTATCAATGGGCGGCACATGCACGAACAAGCATTTATTACAATCCATGTCCAAGGATTTGAGATAAATGTAACCGCATAGAAAGCTGCCAACATTCTTCGATGCTATAGCGGCATTTTGAGGCTTATCGCTATCAGCCGCAGCCACACAATTTTTGCAAATGGTATTTACAACCTTCACTATCGTATCTACGTCAAGTCCACAACGCAATACGTTTGCCCTTCCATGCTGGGGTAAACTGCAGGTGTTATTCTCTAGAAATTTGCCTGCATTATCGGGACGTCGAAATTGATGATTGTATGCGAGTTTTTCTACATGCACGCATTTGGCCACACCGGAGACGCCGACATGCACGACAAGCTGTGTGTAAATATGGATATGATGATGATGTCAGTACCACGCAATTCAACGTGATATACTATTTATTGCTTGCCTCTGGTTGGCTTTGCCAAATTTCTTCAACTGCCTGATCAACAGCTCCGTACTCTACGGGCACCATTCGTTGCTCCAGCACATAGTCGACGCCATTGCAGCTAATACTTTCGGGCAGCAGTTGCACAGCCTCCCAACTGGCATTAATTTCTTCATGACCCACAAATGGTCCAAATCCAGTGACTACAATTCGTTTACGCTCCGTTGACGACATTGTAAACACTGCCGCCCACTACAATGGAGCGCATTAATCAAACACGCACACACACACACACATGTAAATATATATTTTAGTGTTAGAAAATATAGCAAATAAAGTAGAGTACGCTGATAACATAAGACGATTCAGCAAATCAACTAAATAAATATAATAAATTTACAATATTGGGACTTCTTCTTGTCCATTTTGAATAAATCTTCAATTTGAATGTAATTCTTGAATAGCTGTGTAATTTTGCCAAGGACCATCCGGTACGTTTCATTAAAATTATCCAATGTAATAAAGATAATAAGCCAAGCTTACAGATATTCTGGCTAAACCATGCTGTTTATTTTTGAAAACCAAAAGGGCTTACACTTTACTTAAAATTTAGATGATAAGAATTAATTTCCCATTCATAACCAACTAAATCATTTTGGTTAGTGTTAACAGTGTCTAAAGGGCAAACAGCTGATTTAGAATAGTAGTGCTAGGAAACGCCGCATGGATAATAGCCCTGGTGTAATAATCGTATGCCAGCCCTGTTTGGGCGCTAATACACAAAGAATTTGCAGACAAGTGTTTTACTGTTTCAATAAATGTTACAGAAATATTACATTAGTGCAAAAAAATAATAAATCCAAGTATGCTGACCTAAATAGAGAAAATTTAATACAGACACATATAAACAAAACATTCCACGCGTGCAAACTGCACAACAAATTACAAACCAGCAAAAGGGGCCAACCACGAATTAAGAAGTGATCAAAACTGAAATCAATAAATAATTGCGATTTCATAGAACAAATACACGGCACAGAGGTGTCCCCAATATACAACGCAAACCATTTGTAAGCATTTCGTCGGTATTAGCCTAATCTAATCTATTCGGACCAAAGTCGCCGACGTGGTAGACTCAAACTCGCATATTTGAACTTTGCACATTAAGAATTAATAGAATTTTTCTATTGCAGAGGCGGAGGCAAGGGCAGCAGCTGTCGATATTCCCAACCAACTTTAAAGGCCTCACACGAGGGAAGGAACTCATAATAATGTTGTCGCGGCTGCAAGACTTTCTGTCACGCCATCGACGTAAATTTATTGTAACTGGTGCGCTGGTGGGTGGCACCATCTATGCAGCGCGCTATGCGCAGCGCAAGCTAGTGGAATACCAGGAGAAGCAGGCGAGAGAATTCTTCGAACGTACACGGCGAATGCACCACTTTGAGTCAACGGAACGCACCTGCAACCAGGTGATTCTAGGAATGGGCGAGGAGATGTGCCAAGCAGTGTTACACGAGTGCAGCACAGACGAGCTACTAGAACAGCTCCGCCAGAATCCACCCAATAAACTGGAGCTGTGGGAGCAAATGAAAATCGTTGCATTCACGCGTCTAGCCACCTTTGTCTATGCCTCCTCCATGCTGGTGATTGCGCTGCGCGTGCAGCTCAACCTGCTCGGTGGCTATATCTACCGTGACATCATGACAGAGCAGCGGCAAATAACGGACGAACTGAAGCAGCAATATTTATCACTCATCCGCCATTTCATCACACACGATGGCATACGAGACTTAGCTCGATTTATACGTAGCCAGGTTGTGGAGGTGTTAAAGTCGATGCCGCTCTCTCGTCAACTGACGCTGGCTGATACGGAGCAGCTGTTCTGGTCCCTGCAAATGGCCATCAATGGTGACACACGGCACGATCCCAACTCGAAGATGAGTAAATACCTGCTGCCAGACCTAACCCGCCTGCAAGAGAGATTCAATTGCTCTCCGCTGCTGCAGCAGATGTATAACGAGACGCTAGATCTGCTCGAGAGCGAGGATTGCATTGGTGTCTGCGCGCACAATGTGAGTCGCGGCTTTGTGCTCAGCTGTGATGCCATTGCCGAGTCGATGGGCGAAACTCTGCAGCATTTAGCGCCCGGCGAGCTGCAACAGCAAGAGTCCCTGAATGGACAAACCAAGCAGAGCAACAACAATAATCTGTTTGACGTGAACAAGGTGCTGCTGGCCCTGGCCAAGCTGATACCCATCATCAGTGGACTCACTTCGCATGGATACAATAGCGCTGCCCGGCCACATAATCTGCCGACGCAGCTGCTCAGCTTCTATGTAGTGTCCGAGAAATCGAAGATGGTGGGCGCCAATGTTTACGAGTCCTTCAGCTCTGGTTAACCGACAGTCAGAATAAATATGTATATATATTTATATACTTAAACGGGTATATAGATATATAATTATATGTATATTTAATTTTAGCTTAAGACACTTGCAAATTAAGATTATAGTATAGACGCATATGTTTTTAATGGGAGACTTATTTCAACTTAGAAAAACCATGTGTTATGTGTGTGTATGCATGAATATCTATTTGTACTATGCCTAAGTCTCATAGCTAAGATCAGAGTATATAAACATTAAGGCAGCGGGCTAAGTCGTTGGTGATTCGAATTGAAAATAATATACAAAATGAGCAACGTGAAGGCCTTTCGAAATATAAATATGTGAATGGAATAGTATTTATGATAAATTTTATAATAAATTGAAAGAAAATTCTATTCATGTGTGTTTTTATCTAAGAACCATAATTCGATAAGTCGATACACAAACCTAGCTGGGACACGAACCGAAGTGGTCTGCTTCTAAAAGGGGTGGCGTACAGAATAGGAAAAACCGCCCTATGCATTCTATTGATAAGGCGCGCATTCACCGACAGCTGGCGACGCGTCTCAGTCGCGTTGGCTTCATTTGTTTATTTCATAGCTCTTGCTCAGCGTCTTACTGCGCTCTCTCGCTCTCCCTCTCTCGTTTCATATAGCGCAGGCAGCGCTTGCGCATCAGTTGCTAAACAAATTGCAAGCGCAGCTGAACTCTGTCTGTCTACATGTATACGTATATGCGAATGCCGAAGTATCTTTTAGGCGCAACGAAATGTGTTGATTATTAACTAAGCTTACTTATGCTATCAAGCATACACATACACACATGCATACATGTATAAATGCATTGTCATTGCTTAGTGATAGCCACATCTTGCATGCTCTCTCTGCCGCACCGCTCTCTCACTCTCCCGCGCGCTGCCTCTCCCATTCGCTGCGGCTGCTGCCCAGCTGTCTGGCCGGAGTCTAATTATTATATACATTGGCAGCGCAGTTGCAAAAGTTACGTGAAAACGTAAAGGACAAACGGCGCGCCTTCTTCAGCAACGGCGTGTCTGTGCGTGAATTTGTGTGCGCGCGTGTGTGTGTGTTGTGCAAACAGAAAAACAACATCAAGCGATGTGCAGAAACGTGCAAAATATGCTGAGTGCAACCAAAATTGGCGACTGCCACTAACTGAAATACAAATCTCAGCGTAAATCAAACGGAAATCAGAGCAACTAACAAAATTTGTGTAAGTTGAGTTCAAAAGTTGAGCCATTATTTTAAAAAATACGGTTGGGTTAAACGTATCCTTAACCTCCAAAAGTCAGAATGTTAAACAACGGCATTATTGATTAAGACAAAGGAAAAAGTAATTTCCACACACGCACATACACACATGGATGAAAATATATGCGAGAGACAGACATGTGCGTGCGTTACCGTTAGTTTATCCCGAACGGGGTGGCAATGCAAGTGTTAAAGCTCTACTCTACTATTGTTCAAGCCGTACATTCCATGCCAGCAGGGAAAGCCCCTACCGCCCCCAGTGTCAGCGACAGGGCGAGCGTCATAAATTGTGCGTAAGCCCCACTCACATGTGAGGGCGCGTGTGGAGCTAAAAATAAAAGCGTATTACTAGTCGCATGTATAGAACTAACGGGCTCATAGAAAGCCCATTTCATCATTTGGTTATTTGCCTATGAAAGGCCCTCCTGCCCACAGCCAACGGCAAAGTCGAGTGGGCCAACGTGCGAAGCACAGACAACAACAACAACRTGGGAGCCTCTTGCCACGCCCCCGCCTCAAGCACGAACGAACCATAGAATATTTATGAAAACAATGCATGCAAGTCAAGAGCTGGTCCGTCCATGAGCCCATTGACATACTAAATGCAGGGGATCAAGTGGCTTGACAAGAAGCTCCCCAACCACACAGCAGAGCCAACAACAACAACTAAATATATAAATAAATATAAATTGAGTAAGCTTTGTATAGGTGCTTGATTTGCTAAGGGAAGTTATAGATAGCTATGAAGGAATGACAATTAGTTAATGATATGCCACATACACATGAAGATATAATATAGAGAATGCTCTCGATATATATTCCATTACGAAACTCTACTTTTGGCTCAAATTTTCCTTTATTAAAAGTCTGGAATATCAGCTCTTCATAGTAGAATTAATGATATAACACACATACATATCTAGATCTTTTAATACAAATATATAGTGTATGTATGCTTCAGGAACAGTAACAGTATTCCATTAGGAAACCTTTGTATCAGATTAAACTTGAAATGTTGTACATTTTCAACTGATTAGCTGCGGGTTTGGTAATCAACTCTGAAGAAATACTGGAAACTTTTCAATATTGTTGCTTTTTTGGAGAATATGTGTATAGGAAACGAACGATTGTAATTTCATATCAGCCAAACATAACGCTACCATGCTCAAGCTTAAAATTAAAGTGATAAAGCGAGAAAGCTTGTTAGAGCAGCAGAACTATCAGACAATAATTAAGGGGGAAGTTTGCAATGTACCTGAATAAAAGGCAATATGCGAGTAGCTACAATCAACCACTGAATAGCGTAATCACCCCAATACACACACACACACACACACACACACACACACACAGTGCATACTTTATACATTTGCTTTCTATGCAACATGCCAGAAAAGTCCTACTTTTGCAACATGAATGAAAGGCTATAACTACATTTTTTATGAGTTCTGGAGTATAAAGTTGCTTGCCTTCCTCCCTCCCTCACTCTTTCTCGCTCTCTCGCACTAGTCGCATTGTGTGGGCATTATTCGTCTTCGTTTGTTTGGCTTGTCAAAACCGTCAAAAACAGCGATAGACAAGCTGCCAGCAACCAGCCAGTCAGTCATCCAGTCAGTCAGTCAGTCAGTCAGCTCGCGTCCTTTGCTAGCCACTATAAAACTAGCACTCAAGAGACTCGCCACAACAAGCCACACTGCCCTGACATGCACCCCATTGCAACCCCCTAACAGCACATCCCAACACCAACACAAACACCAACACCAATGACAACCCCAGCCCTAGCCCCGATTCCAATTCCGATTCCCATTCCTGGTTGCAGCCGCAGGGCAGAGCACTGAGCACACAGAGTATGCAAAATAGTTTCGTAAATGACGTTTGATAGATGGCTGCATGGCTGAATAGATAACTTCCCGGCCTGGTCTATGGCTCTGATTAGTTCTGCATTCCATTCCATTCCGTTTCTGAATGCCGTCTAATGAAGCTGCCTGGGCTAAGTCCAAGCAAAGTGCTGCTAGACTGTAATTAGTTGCCTATGTGGGTGGGGGTAGGCTGAGAGGGTAGGGGGAGTGGATGGAGGGGCATAAAAAGCTGGCTTGCTTAGACTTTATCTGGCTATAGGTTTCTTTTATTGCGCATACGCCCCGTTGTGTTATTGAGCACAGCTCCTCGAGGCAGCTGCTGGAGATGAAAAGAAGGAAATACCCTGCATAGAGAAACTATATATTTTATTAATTAGAATCTCTTAAGAGCCAGTAAATTCCTTTTCCCGTCAGCTACTTCTGCAGGGGTATTTTTTATGGAGTATTTCATATAAAAAACAGATTTGTCACAGTCTCCCAAATGAAGCGTAAAATGTGCGTACAAGAGCCTTAAATGCGCCATAATAAATTGAGAGTTAAATATCTATATATAAATGAAATTTACAATTTATCTTGTAATTTACATAGAAGTGCAAAGTGGAGTACTTTACCAATCCCGAGGGCATGACAACGGCGTGGTCACTACTCCAATTAAAAGCGTAATCATCAAAAGGGTCTCTTAGACGCCCCCCATTGGATGTATATATATGTGTCATAATTTATGCAGATAAAAGGTGACGCAACGTGGCCGCGACTCGATTGCGGTTCGATATAGGGCTAGAGTACGAAGCACAGTTATTCGTGCGAGAGCAGCGGACTAACATAGATCGACGGAACGGAGTACGAACGGACAAACAGAAGCGAGCGCATCGTACAGATCATTAACAAAGGTAATTAGTCGAATGTTGTTGTTATATGCTATCAAGAGAATTGATCTGCATGTTTAGTCAATATACATATACACATACCATATATAGTATAAGTAGATCAAAGAAATGCCTATAAAATTGTTTACAAACATTGCACAGCAACATGGCCCGGTTATCTGGCTGAACCGTTAGCCAACTTTGAGCCTCGCAAAGTCAGTGAGCGACCCAGCTGTAAGCCGCGAGCTAATTGAGAAATCGACACCAGCGGGAAACATCCGAGAGCTGTGTTCAGAATGCGACGTCCGAAAATTTCGCTGAAAAAATATTTCTACTTTACGCTGATCTGTGCGCTGCTTCTAATCTTCGGGTTCAATCTCAGGTGAGTAAAGCATAATATACAAACGTGGAGCATCCACGTCAGATGAACACTTATCTTGACGATTTCAGAGAGAAAGAGATATGGAAGTCGGGAATCACGCGACCCGCTCTAGCCCCCGCAGCGTCGCCGCTGCACCAGCAGCGACGTGAGATTAATACAAATCAGGTGAAGACTTCGTCATTGGTGGATGCCACAGTGATATATGCTTCAGCGCCGCCAGCTTCGCCTGAGTCCCTGCCCGACCCAGCTGAGTCACAGCCGCAGCAGCTGGAGGCGGAGGGCGAGGAGGCAGAGGCAGAGGCGGAGTCCGATACTGCAGCCGATAAGCGCGCTGAGCCAGCGCCCACAGCCAAGCCCTGGTTCTTTCGCAACGGAGAATACTACCCGAGGCCAGCGAAGACCTTCAGCAATCGCAAGGCCCGCAAGCAGCATGCCCCGAAACTATTCCCACACCAGGATCCGCACAACGACCGCGTCATCAATCAGCTGATGTATGTGCCGCACAACTACGATCAGATCAAGGCGAGCGGCAAGCTGAAAACCATTCTCCTCTACAACGGACTGGGTCCGTGGAATGTGAAGAAGGGGCGCGAGGTTTTCCTGCGCTCCAAGTGCCCCGTGGACACCTGCGAGCTGACTGCCAATCGGGATCTGGCCAGCGTGGCAGACATGATACTATATAAGGATAACTACATTCCAACGGGCATACGTCGGCCCAGCAATCGCAAGCAGGTGACCATGATGTACTACCTGGAATGTCCCTACCACACACAGAACGTCAAGGTGCCAGACGCCATCAACTGGACGGCCACATACAGGTGGGTTACATAAGAGAAGTCAAGTCGACCTTGACCTTGCTTAAATCCTCTTCACAGACGCGACAGCACTGTGATGGCGCCCTATGAGAAGTGGCAATACTATGATACGAAGCTGCAGCAGCAGGAGCAGGATCACAACTATGCACTGAACAAAACGAAAAAGGTTGCCTGGTTCGTCTCCAATTGTGGAGCACGCAACGGCCGATTGCAGTACGCACACGAGCTCCAAAAGCACATTGAGGTGAGTGTGGGAAAACGGAAAAAAAAACTCTCTCTCTCTCTCTCTCCTCCCTATCTCTTTTATTCTAATCTAATCCTCCCTTGCAGGTGGATATCTATGGTGGCTGTGGCAATTTTAAATGCCCTCGGAGCACCGCTGACAAGTGCTTCGACATACTGGACAACGATTACAAGTTCTACTTGGCATTCGAGAACTCCAACTGCAAGGACTACATCACAGAGAAGTTCTTTGTGAATGCACTGAATCGCAAGGTGTTGCCGATTGTGATGGGCGCCCGGCCCGAGGATTACGAGGTGAGTGCTCCGCGTCGCTCCTATATACATGTGGACGAGTTTGCCTCGCCCCGAGAGCTGGCCGAGTACCTGCACATACTCGACAAGGACGACGAGCTCTATAACTCGTACTTCAAGTGGAAGGGCACCGGCGAGTTCATCAATACGTACTTCTGGTGCCGCGTCTGCTCCACGCTCCACAACGAGGAACAGTTGCGTAAGTCCACCTGGTACACGGACATTAACGAATGGTGGCGGGGTCCTGGGGTCTGCACCTCGGGCTCGTGGCGCAACTTCAAGGCGCGCATGGACGTGATTAGCGATGATTGAGGGCATGACGTGGTCCAGATAGTGGACGGCGCAGGTGTCTTTACATAATCAAAATCCAATATGTGTGGCTGGCTATACAGTATATTGTTGTTGTTTTTGTAGGAATCTGTTTGTACTGTATTGTAAGAAACGAAGCATGAAAGAAGACAAGCAGCAAGCATTCCCCTTCGCTTTGAACGAAGAACCGAAACAAATTGGTTTTCTAGCTAGAACTAAGTGCTTCACATAAACACGTTTGTATGTATATGTATTTAGATATATATTCATATGCATGAGCAAATCGAAAATCAAACGAGCATGGGGCAATAGCCTCGGTACAAATCGAGGAATAAACATGTTCCTTCCAGGATTGAGAGAAATCGCTTATGGATAGTCAAATGCAAAAGGACAGAGACAAGCGCATAGAAACTAGCCTATACATAGACTAAAGATCCCGCGAAGATCATTTGTAACATATACAATACGAGGAAAGTAAAAATCCAAAATAAATAAGAGAAATTAGCTTAGTTATACAAATTATATAGTACTCAATGTATATTTCAGTTGTTCAAAGAGCAAGTCCAATTTAGCGCATAGGCCAAAGACGTATGGGACGATACGGACGGACGCACAGACATGCGGACACACATAATGAATGTTCATTAGCGGTATATATACTATATGCGATATATAGCTTATATACAATATATATGTAGGCCGTAAGTCGGTTGCATACGTATATACCAAATATATAATTATAGACCGTTTTGTAAGCATTTTTGTAAGCAACAAAGTCAAGATCATTTCTTTTTTATATTTTGCATATTTAGATAGTTTCGATTGCATAGATTTGCTCTTAGTTGGATCAGCAGATATCGTAGATAATCATCGCACAACAAACAAGCGCAATACTCAGACTAGTCTGAGCCTTAATCTGTACGTTAGCTTTTAGGCTGCAACAACAACAACAACAAACATTCCTATTTTATATATACACTTGCTGAGAATATTATGTATTTAGTTTCCATTGGCAGCCAGTGCTATATAGCAGATCTCTAGTATCTTGAGCTGACTTGGTATATATAGCTTATTACTTGTGTTTAGATTGTTTTGCAATATTAGGATATTATCTTAGCCAATGTACTTATGTATACCCTTTCGGTATTATTTATATATATGTATCTATATATATTTTCAGTAATGTGTATAACTGTTAATTTTAGTTGTGAACTTAATTGAACTGTGTGTGTTTTACAATATTTAGCATTACATATATATATTTATTCGGTAATATTTAATTTATAAGCATTTAATATCATATGTGTATTTTGATTATGTATTTAATTAATTTTTAATTTTTACTGTGATAAAAAAAAAAATAAGAAAAGAAAATAAACAATGGCAACAAATACAACAAATGACACTCAATTCTTAATTAATATTTCAAGTACTATTATCAGGTGAATGGATAAACCTATGGCATTCGTGTTCCGAGTATTTTGGATGAGCTTAAAAAGCAGACGTATACATAAAATGTCTTAAATTATCGACGACAGCAATGCAAGCTGTGCACACGTATTGAAACGATACTGAACAAATATTAACGCTCGACTCTTCAAATTTTAGCCTCCCTCATAGCTGGCTTCAGCAGCAGCAGCTGCAGCTCACACATGGCACATTTTTAGCTGCATAAGCAAATCTTTCAAGTTGTTAAGTCTGTCGTGCTTTTTGTTATCTCCAAGCGCCGTTGCTGTCACAATTTTAGTTGTGATTTTGCGTTGCAGTGCAATTGCTTCAACTTTTTTCGATAGCTATTAGAAAGATAAGAAATTATAGTATATCATCAAATGGAAATCAATGCAATAGCTACCTCATAAGCGCGTTTAATAATGCCATGTGGCATGCCCGCCAGCTTGGCTGCATTGAAGCCGTACGATTTGGGACAGGCGCCCGCTGTGTATTTGTACAGAAAGGTGACCGTCTCCTGGGTGGGATCTGCATTGTCCTCGTTCTCAACCATGCAGGCCATATGGCCCAGGGTGATGCGCTTATCCATGTGGAAGAAGTCAATCAGATTGTGGTAGTGCGTGGAGAACAAGGTGCGGCACTTCAGATTGGCCAAAAAGCTCACCACAGACGCTGCAATGGCGGTGCCGTCATATGTGGCCGTGCCGCGTCCCAACTCATCGAGCAGTACTAACGAATTCGGTGTAGCGTGCTTAAGTATCAGCGAGGTTTCATTCAGCTCCACGAGGAAGGTGCTGTGGCCAGCCAGGATATCATCCTGAGCGCCCAGCCTAGTGAAAATGCGATCCACAAGCGACAGCCGACAGCTGGCCGCAGGAATGTGAGCACCCTAAGCAAAATATTAGAATTATTTACTGAAGTCAATTCATTCCCAACGGCTACTCACAATTTGTGCCATGATGACCAGCAAGCCGAGCTGCCGCATCAAAGTGCTCTTGCCGCCCATATTTGGGCCAGTGAGCAACGACAGAGGGGCCTCCGTTTCTGTGCCAAGCTGCAGGCCGTTGGGTATATAAGTCGATGGATTGGCGCACGGATGATAGCCCTCCTCCAGTTCAATAAAGGGCTGAGCCTGTCCCGACACGAGCTCTGGCACACAGATGACCAGCTGCTGGCGCGCATATTCCGCCAGACCGGCGAGCACATCCAACGTGGCCACACAGTCGATGCACTGCTTCCATTGTTCGTAGTGATTGGAGAACTTCTCGAAGAGACGACGCGCCAAGTCCTTGAGCACAGCGTTGCGGGCATCTTCGGCCTGCTGCATATCCTTCAGCATCGCCTTGGTCTCCGTAGTGATGTAGCGACGAGCTGGCTTCTTACCCTTCACCTGGCCCTCCAGCGCATACGACTTGTTGGCCTTGTGGGCATGCGTCTCGGGCACCTCCAGCTGGTAGCGCTTCTTGTCGGAGCCAAAGTAAGTAACGCGACAGCCAAAGTGTCGCTCTTGCTCCTTCAAATAGGCCTGCAAACGCTCCTCGACCTCTGCTATGCGCTGCTGCACCTCATCGTAGTCCGCGTCCATGCCTGGCTGCGGTGCAACGACGCCCGCCTTGGCAGCCGCCTCGTGGTCGAAGGCATTCTCAAAGAACTTCAGCTGCTTGCTGAGGTCGGGATAGTTGCCGCCATTGGCTGGCAGCTGAGTCAAGCGCCGCAGTAGCGTTGATTCACATCGTTGGAACATCTCTGGCAACTGCATCAATGTCTCAAATCCCTTGAGTATGCTCATAAAACTGCGCAGCTTCTGCTTATTGTAGAGCTTCTCCTCGAAAAGTATAGCCCTGGAGTCAGGATGTTCAGTTTGGCCTATGTATTTGTTGCCAAACAAATGAATCTGAGCCAAATGCCGCTCAAAGTCTGGCATGGGCGCCAGCAAGGCGCGCAGCTGCTGCAGTTCATCCGGCTGGCGTAGCAGCTCGCCAATCGCCTCCTGCCGCTCGCGCAACACAGTCAAATCGCAGCTGGGCGCGCAGAGCCAATGATGCAGCAGCCGCTTTCCAAACTTGGTGCAGCAGTGGTCCAACGTGGACTGCAACGAGTGTTCCTCGCCAACAATGCGCAAATTCGACAATGTGGTTGCATCCAAGACCATGTGCGAGCGCTGCAGCGGTGTGGAGGTTAATTTTGGCTTCGCCGTCTCTTCCTGCTGTTCATCGGGCGGCACATACAGCTGATAGCGTGCCATGGGCAGCACCTTGGGCTCCAGCTTACACTTGGCTATGTAGTGAATGCATTGACCCAGAGCTTTGAGTGCCAATTTATAGGGCTCTGCAGGAGTGAGACCCAAGTGATCCGTGTCCGACTGCATGGTGCGCAACACCAGCGGCCAGTTGTCCTCGTTGCCAGTGCCAGCGTAGTAGCGCTCCGCTAGCAGCTTCAGCGTTTTCTCTGCACTGCAGAGCTGGTTGCCAGCTCCCGGCAGCTGCTCCTTCTGTATGCCGCCCAGGACAGTGCGTAGAATTTGCTGAGTGCGAGAGCTAAGCGCCGCTTTCTCGTGGAGCAACTGAGAGGAGAAATACGGTTAACAATATAGAGCTAACTTAAGAGCATTGGGAGGACTCACCAGCACGGGCATGTTGTGGGAGATTAGTGTCAAGAGGCGAGAGCAGCTCTTGTCATCGTCAAATTCGCCCACATGGAAATCACCAATGGAGGTGTCTATGAAGCAAATGCCATATTTGCTGCTGGTGCCTTCATCCTGCTCCACTATGGCTAACATATAGTTGGGCTGATGATTGGGGCCAATGGCGCACTGTGAGCCAAACACTTGAGTGCCTCGATCTGTGATCTGACAGATCTCGCGAGCCACAACCTTGTCGTATTTAGTGGACTTGATGCGTTTGCAGCGCTCCGTCATCATGTCCGGTGTCTCCGTTTGCTCCACGCGAGCGACCTGCGAAAAGTCGCAAATATTATAAGAGCACTCCCTTAAGATTATCCCTACTCACCTTATAACCCCTGTCTACGAGTATGGAGGACATCTTGTCGAAAGAGATTTCCGGAAAGCCCGAGTGCGCGAATTCGCCGCGCATGTACGTAAAGCCCAGCTCATTGACACCCACGTCGGCATCGCCATGATACAGCTCATAGAACTTGCCCACCTTGAAGAAGAGCACGCAGTCAAAGTTGTCTGCCTTGAGGACCCACCATTGGCGCATGGCCGGCGACAGCGTATTGAGGAACTTCTCGGGCACATGCAATGTGCTCTTGTCGTACTCAGGGTGGTCTGGTCGCCTGCCAGCCTTGTCCTTGATCTTGTCCGGCTGCAAGAAGTCCAGCTTCTGATGTGGCCAGACAGTGGGCTCGTCCAGATTCGATGTGGTGGTCACGATCTCATCGTAAGCGGCATCCTTTTTGGCATTACTTTGCAGCTGCTGCAGCTTTTCCATGAATGTGCCGCCTGCAACCAAGGCGGGCGTCTCTATCTTAGCCTTTTTACTAGCAGGCTCCTCAATGTTATTGTTGTTAAGAAAGTTTTTAGCGGACTTTTTGCGTTGCTTCTTGGGCGTAGGCTCGTCTTCGGTGCCAGGCTCGCTTATATCATCATCCTCTTCACCGCTAGCGCTCTCCTCGCTGAAGGTAGACTCCTTGGCATCGGGCTGATAGTCTGAGCCATCATCGGAAAAGTCTGGCTCCGATTTGGATTCGTATTCCTCCTCGCTCTCTGATTCGGGTAATACAATGCGCTTACGTTTACCTTTGCCAATCTCCTCCTCCTTATCACTGTCTTCCGTAGCTGTTGGCAATTTGCGCCTGGCAACTGGCTTGGATTCTTTTTTCACTTCCTTAAGATTCCCATTCTGCACATTCTCCTTTTGGAGCTCAGCTCCATTGCTCCCATTGCTTGGCGTTAGTTTCTTTTTGTCAACGACTGGAGATTTGGCAAAGTAGTTGAACAGCGTGTTCTTTGGCGTACCACCTGCACTAGTATTTAGCTTCTTCGACATATTTCAATCGCCTCACCAGGCTACCAAATCACGAATGCCAAGAAAACAAATGACGCCAAAAATCTGCGCCAAAATTAAGCGGCAAATAATTAGCAGAGCAATAACAGCAGCGTAACAGGGCACAGCTGTTGCTCAGCAAACTGGCTTCTCCACCGTTTGAATTTGCAAATAAACGATAGCAGAGCGCACATATGTTTTTCAATTAGACGTCTTTACATAGCTACACAGAAAAGTGTGGCAACGCTGTATAGATCATATGCACGCTGCAGTTGGCAACGCAGCAAAAGTTTTGTTTACAACGAAAACGTTTAAAATTATTCCGGAAAAGAAACAAATATATAAATATAAATAATGTCACTAGCAGACGAACTACTCGCAGATTTGGAGGAGGACAATGACAATGATATTGATGATGCCGAAATGGCAGATGCCGACGATGCTGAGCAGGCAGCGCTCAACCACGAGCTGGCAGAAAAGTTGCTCAAGCCGGCGCCCAATCTCATGGAAGTCGACGTCAAGGTCCAATCTGTGCGAGAACTGTGCAAGCTGCGTGACTCGGATCGTCTGCAGAACACTCTCAAGCAAATCGAGCATTATGCGAGTCGGCAACGCAGCGCTGCCGAAATGTTGGGCAGCGTGGAATCAGATCCGGAATATTGCTTGATTGTGGATGCGAACGCGATTGCCGTAGACATTGACAACGAGATTTCCATAATACACAAGTTCACCAAAGAGAAGTATCAGAAGCGCTTTCCGGAGCTAGACTCGCTCATTGTGGGCGAAATCGAGTACTTGCTGGCTGTCAAGGAGCTGGGCAACGATTTGGATCAAGTCAAGAACAATGAGAAGCTGCAGGCCATACTCACTCAGGCAACAATTATGATTGTCTCTGTGACTGCGTCCACTACGCAGGGGTAAGTTGTCATGTATATGACCAATAATCCCATATAATCTATTACAATCCATTCGCAGCACCATGCTAACCGCCGCTGAGAAGGCGAAGATCGATGAAGCCTGCGAAATGGCAATTGAGCTGAACAATTTCAAATCCAAGATCTATGAATACGTTGAGAGTCGCATGACCTTCATAGCGCCCAACCTGTCCATGATTGTGGGCGCCTCAACAGCTGCCAAATTGTTGGGCATTGCCGGCGGCCTGACCAAGCTCTCCAAAATGCCGGCTTGCAATGTGCAGGTGCTCGGCTCGCAGAAAAAGACCTTGTCGGGCTTCTCACAGACCCAAATGTTGCCACACACGGGCTACGTTTACTACTCTCAGATTGTGCAGGATACGGCGCCCGATTTGCGACGCAAAGCGGCAAGGCTTGTGGCTGCCAAGTCGGTGCTGGCGGCACGTGTGGATGCGTGCCACGAGAGCGTGCACGGCGAGATTGGTTTGAAGTTTAAGGAAGACATTGAGAAGAAACTGGACAAGCTGCAGGAGCCGCCGCCAGTGAAGTTCATCAAGCCGTTGCCAAAGCCCATCGAGGGCAGCAAGAAGAAGCGAGGCGGCAAACGCGTGCGCAAGATGAAGGAACGATACGCGCTGACCGAGTTCCGCAAGCAGGCAAATCGCATGAACTTTGGCGATGTGCGTATACTGAGTATGCTACATATTTACATATGTATTAAATATATCCAAACTTTGCATTCAGATCGAGGAGGACGCCTATCAGGGAGATCTGGGCTACTCGCGCGGCACCATTGGCAAGACCGGCACTGGTCGCATTCGCTTGCCCCAGCTGGATGAGAAGACAAAGGTGCGCATTAGCAAGACGCTGCAGAAGAATCTGCAGAAGCAACAGGTCTACGGAGGCAACACAACCGTGAAGCGTCAAATCTCTGGCACAGCCTCCAGCGTCGCATTTACCCCGTTGCAGGGTCTGGAAATTGTAAATCCACAAGCGGCCGAGAGATCGCACACAGAAGCCAAGTACTTCTCGAATACATCCGGTTTTCTGTCTGTGGGCAAGCGAACCACTTAAAACAACTACAATATATCCATATAAAATATATGTAAAATTATGCACTTTTATTTAGCGAATTGTCGGCATTGTAAGAGACTCGAATCGACACGGAATGAGTTAGGCCTAATAAAGCTGCTGAGATTCCTGGAATAGTCCTCAACTAGATAGCTGCGTTAACTAAGTTTGCCCACCTCCAGTTTGCGTTGTATAGCTTCCAGTGAGTTGTTTAGCACCACAGCCAAGATGCCCGCCACGGTGAAGACGCCGCCAATGATCGAGCAACAGTTGGTGGCAAAGTGGCCAAAGGAACTGAGGATCAATAATAATTGAAATCACTATTTATTAAATGCAAGCCTGATCAGCTACTTACACATGCCTCTCGGCATATTTGACCATCAGTGGAGACAGTTCATAGCTAAAGAAAATACCGGGCATGCCCCGTTCCCTATCTGTGAGATCCTTTCGATGCCTCGTAACGGAAAACTGATTTGTATATATGGGTTTGCCATCACTGTGGCGTTCATAAAGCGTCGGCACAATTTTCAAGTAATAATTAAACATTTCACTCTTCGATTCTGGAAATAAAAATACCACAGAATAATCAATTAATTTAATTAAATTTAAATTATAATTCCTATTGCTATCACTAAACTAACTAAATCCATTGAGTGTCATTCTGCTACAGCACACAAGCGCCATCTACCTATTGAATTATCATTGGAGCAAGCTCTATGCGTTAGCGCCAGCTGGCGGCTAAAATTGAAATTTTCTAACACAGGGCTGCTTTGGCACACATGTTGGCTTTCTGACAGCTACAAATAAGCCAATATACAAATTGTTGTTTTTGAGTCGGCGACGACAAAAATATACAAATTCTAGTTTTTTAGGCAATTTGGATAACTGACGCCTAAGAAGCAAATATTCACATCGTAGCAAAAGTTATACTTTTGCTTATATTCATACAACCTTAACAAATACAACGCAACGAAGGCCAAATGCCGTTGCCTAGCGGATCCTTCTCCGCCACCCAAGGTGGGCCCACATGCTTTGATAAGATGAAGACTGGCTTCACCATTGGCTTCTGCGTGGGCATGGCCAGTGGTGCACTATTTGGTGGCTTCTCCGCGCTCAGGTAAGACTGATTGAGATTACATTCCGGCAGCTTCCGTCGCGTGACGCAAGCGCCTGGCCCGCATTATGTAATTACCGGTAAAATGAGTGAAACTAACTTTTTTTTAGATACGGACTGCGTGGTCGCGAGCTGATTAACAACGTTGGCAAGGTGATGATACAAGGCGGCGGCACTTTTGGTACATTCATGGCCATAGGCACCGGCATACGCTGTTGATATACACACATATATCGTTCTCCCCTCAACTGGATTGCATTTCGATTATGTTTATTAGATTATACCCAGCCTCCTCCCACTCTCCCCCTGTTCCCTGTATAGCTAAGGCTAAGTTTCTAAGTTACCTACGAATGCAAAATGCTTTACAAAATTATGCTATGTATAAGTATTTGCAATAGACACGTTGTTAAGCCAAATATGAACTTTGTACTACTTACCTTCAACATCGACGCGCAGCCCGTCCAGCGGATGTGTCTTGGCGAACTCAATCTTCTCGCCGAACGACAAGTGATTAATGGTGTGCGAGAGCTTCACATTTGTAAACTGGAAGTCGTGTATGTGGAACTGGCGTATGGAGAAGCTCTTGCCGGGCGCAAAGTGAAAGCTGCCAGCCATCTAAACGAGACAGCATATATATTAGCAGAGATCTAGCTAAGCTCTGATTGTGCAGCTTACCCGGTTCACCTCCAGATGGCCCTGTATGCGGCAGCCCTCCTTGAAGGCGTCCTCGTCGGTCCGCTTGTATTTGCCTTTGCACTGCTCAATCTTGTCCACTTGCATGTTCCATTTGCGTATACGGTACGCATCCAGGACATCCTCACAGGTATTGCAGCAGCTGTTAGAACAGTTTACCAGTGGTTAGAGAGTTCTTTATAATTTTGTAATTAGACGAACTCACTGAGTTGAATTGTGCTCAGCGCCGTAGCAGCTGCCACAGGTGCTGTTCTTATTTGGCGGCGAGACGGCAACAATTTCTTTGATGGGCGTCTCCTTTAGTGGGTTTCCGTCCAGATCCAGGCGGTGCTTAAACACGTCGTGATCCACGCGCAAGTGTGTGTCACCCGAGGAGTCCATCGCATCCAGCGATATATAATTGCAGGCCAAATTGTGAAGCGTGACGTCCAAATTGATGCGAAGCTTGTGACCGCGCGTCGTGTCCACGAATAGCTCCTCAGTCAGCGTAGGCCGCATATAGTTCAGGCACTCCAGAAAGATGAGCAGGCTTATAATACTGCTACTAATAATAGTCACTACACAAAAAAAATAGTGCAACGATAGATAATTTGTTTATTTACACAACACGAAACTTACCGGCGGCGCCGCCCACTGTGCGTACGCTGAAGTCATCCAGGGTGCGTGGATACGCATCCAGACGACGTAAGACATCAGCGAATTTCATATTTTATACACAGAACAAACTATAGCACGGGAAATTTCAGTAAAAACAGAATTTACATGTTTTTTTTCAAAAGACGAGTGATTGGCTAAGTGACGTGGTTGGTAAACAGCTGAAAGCAACAAAAGAAAAACAAGTCGCCCAGTTGCCACCCAGTTGTAAGAGCTGCCACATCGCTGGAAACTAGTTGCTTGTACAACTTTTCCATAGGTTGTTTTAAATATTTAGCCACGGGGCAAGGCTAAGACTAAAATTGCTTAATAGTTGCGCGCAATTTTTTAAAAATTGCTGGGCTACCTACATAGTGGAAGAAATAATTATTGAGAACAATATAATTTTGAAATCAATTCGCAAAAATATAATTTTTTATAGCATTTTCAATGTGTAGTTAAATGGATATGCAGTAAAAATATACAAAAATTGTATAAAACGAAACTATTATTATTAGATTCACCTTACACATATTTGCAAGTAACTAGCGACTTTTACCAGTTTGGTTAGTCATAAATAAAGGTGATTAAAGGGCTTTAAGTGCATTTCGTTAATGTCATGTGGCGGGACAAGTGCTTCTGTTCCTCCGTCTTCTGCGCTTAATTAACAAAACACCCCGGCGACCCATGGAGTTACCCGCTCCATATGTCCGTGGCACAGGGACATATTGTTTAATAGTGTTGTCATGTCTTGAGGCTGTGGTTGCGCATACATTAGGCAGCCTCAGCTCACCACGCCCACTTGGGCGCTGGTGTGGTCTAGCAGACCGCGTCTAATTTTATAATACATGTTAAACAGATGAAAGGTTAATTGAAGGGAACCACAAGCATCGACAGGCCACGCAGCGCTTAGCTTTTAAGGGTTGCTGCTATTGTTGTTGCCCTAGCCACGACGATAAACAACAACAACAACTGCAAGGAGAAAGGGAGCCTAATCGGGCAGCAGCCAAGGGATTTTGGTTAAAGTTAAAAGTTTGTGCTTAAATATAAATCAGCAAATGGCTTGACGGCTGACTGAAGCGACGGCAGAAACCCTATATGAAGCCATCGTGATGCGTCGGAGAACGAGCGAGAGTCGATCCCAAGATGCGGATACGCGTATACCGCGAATTTATGTAATTAGCAATTAAGCTGAAAGTCCGTTGATGCTGCGTTGGACCCGCGATTCCTTTGTCCCCAATTAAGATGAGTGAAACTTAAAAGCTTTTTCCATTTACTTTATCCAGTAATCCAAAATCAGGCACGGCACCAGATGACAAAGATTAGCTACGTGCAATTTTTCTTATTTTTGTCGAGCTGAAATGAAGGTAGAGTATCGGGAGAGTGGGTGAGTGGTTAGACTGGAGACACTACGTTGGTTATAGAAGTAGACCTTAGAGCATGCAATCATGGTGAAATCACCCGCATATAATCATTGCTAGATATTGGAATGTGTTGTAAAAGTAACAAAGGTAATTGCTGTCCGTCTCTCCTTCGCTCCTCTCTCAATCCGTCAGTTTCTCCCCCTCTCACACACACTTTCTCTTGGTCTATTCAAAAATATTTGACTTTCATCTCTTCCATCATACTTGTTCTTTCTTTAATCTATTTGTCTAGTCCAACCCCAATATCAGCTAAACTAAAATATATTACACTTGTCTCTGTGGGTCAGACGTAGTAGAGTATTTGGGCTTTGTCATGCTGCCAGACTCCCTGCTCAGGCTGCCCGGCTCAAATAGCTGCTTATCTGCCGTGCTATCGCTAGCCGCACTAATTTGCATTTCTAACCATTTCGTTCTAACCAATTCGCGTCGTTTCTCACTTGAAACAATGAACCCAAGTACAACGAGAGTCATTGTGCTCTGGACAATAAAAGCCAAGAGACTCGGACAAAAAGAAAGAATGAGCAGGAGAGAGGAGAGAGAGAGAGAGGGTGGAAGAAACTTGGCAGCTGTAAAGCAGAAAAGAACTTGGCGTAAAGCAGCTTAAGCAATCAGGACCGCCTAATGGATATTGACACTTTAATGCCCAGGCCCACATAGACGGCGGCGACTCGACTCGACCGACTCCTCCACAGCAACCCGTGTGCAGTTCTCGTCCTGAGATTTGCCTCAGTTTCGCTGCTGCTTCTTCTTCTTCTTCGCTGTTTTTTTTTTCTCTCTTTGGCCTGCTCGGTGTTTTATGCGGCATTTTGTTCTTTAAACAAAAATTGCACTGCCGAAATTAATTATAGAGCCGCTTGGCCATATTTAATTAAATGTGGACATTTTAAACTTGCCTCCACTCATTCGCTCTCCCTCTCCCTGTCACCCTCTCTCTCTCTCTCTTACCCTCTCTGTCTCTCTTGCGAAAAGGCGTAATTAATTAGTGGAGACGTGCCAAATAATTGCGGTAAAAGTAACTTTTCTTTCTGGCTAGATTTCTTTATTTATTCTTTTTCTTCGGTCAAGGAATGTTTCAATTACGTGTATTACACGGCAAATGGTAGAAGGGGGTAAGCGCATTGGGGGGGAGGGAGGAGAGTGAGGCAGGGCCTGCCAAAGTTTCTGCCATTTCGCTCAGGTGGAAATTAATTAAATTAGCAGGCGTCACTTGAGCGCGCAATTAAGCAAAGTGTCATGCCGAGCACTTGAAATATTTAGCCCAAAAATGGCAAACGCACTGAACATTTGCCAACTCTAACCACTTCCTCATACATTTTTGCATATTTCTATGCACGTGTGTGTGTGTGTGTGTGTGGGAGTGTGGCACTCACTTCCGCACTAAAAGCCCAAAACGTCATTTCCGACAAATTAGCCCAGTCGACCGACAACGTAATATCGCACTGAACTGTACTCGCCTAGCTCCACATCTCCACTCTGCTCCGCTCTGCTCTGCACTGTGCAATTTGTATTTTGTATCTGTATTTTGTATTTTAACTGCCAGCAGCGACTAACAACCGACACGGCCGCATTTTGAGCATATTTCCTGTGTTAGACGAAAAATGCGCCCGTTAGCCGTTAGCTATGGCCGGTACTACAATATTGGCCAAAATACGCTGGGCCACCCACAAAAATTTCAACGTCGCTTACGTAAATCGAAAGGTGAATTCAATTTATGCCCGCTGCAGCTGCGTTTGCTAACAATTTCAGCCAATAAGATATATTGCATTTGCTGGAAACTATTGTCACGAAATGCTAAAATCAAACAATATATTGTTAGCCAAGCTAGTTGTTAAATAAGCTAACAAATTTGGAAAACTCTTTTGCCCTAAAAGGGGAATATTTTGAGCGACTTGCTATAAATTACAAATGCTCTCAACATAGACCCACTAAAAGATGTATTTCGCTTGATTAAATATTTTTTACAGTTCATAGCTCAAATAATACTTAAAGCCAAGATAAGAAAGTGTTCTTCATCTCAGTCAAAAATATTAAGGCAATTTTGATTACCTCTGAAAATTCAAGACCCTTTTCATTTTTATTGTGCACTCACTCAAAAAAATTATAAATTCACACATAAATGATATCTACCCAGATCATGTTATAGACCCATTTCATGTTTACGAGCCAAGAACATTCAATAATATATGACTCGCTACCCGACTTCAGTTTAAGTTTCGTACCCCAGTCTCTTATCCTAGGTAAATGATCGTTCGTCCCTCTGGCTGTTTCCTTGCTATCTCCTCTGGCAATCTGAACTGAAATTGAAGCTTTTCCCACCTTTTTGCCCACCTTGCCGATTGACATGTCGCGAGGTGTTGCCCATCGGATGCAGCGCGTAAAGTTCCTATTAATTGCATCACATTTCTTGTCGCATTATTAATTGTCAACGCGCATTAATTGCATTTGTAATGCGTCATAATTACTGCAAATTATCTGCTCACGCCAAGAGGAACAAGCTTAGGTGTGTTTCCTCTCTATGTATGTGTGTGTGCGTGTGTGTGTGTGTACTTCCTTACAGATCAAAATTGTGAGAGTACCATTAAATGACAGCTACATACATATATTGGGTCTGAGAAGAGTTTGATATGTTTAAGTCTGTCTTAAGAGTAACCTAGTTCTTATTGGCTTTTGAATTTGGATATTCACTGTTAAATATATACAACTGTTAAAAGTTCTACTAAGAATGCATGCATTATTCCAACACAATGATATTCCGCACTAGCTTAAAGCAAAACCTGTTCGATTTAAGCTATATCTCATGAATGAATGCGGTTAGCCAAAAGGTGCTTTTACAGCTTTTAGCGTGTAAAATGATTGAGTCATTAAATCTTCCTCGCATTGACTGCATAAATTAAGCTATTTATTGAATATCTTATGAATTTAATTAAAACTTATTTTATCTTTTCACATGACTCAGATTCAACCAAAAAACGCCGGTCTTGAATGAAATGTTTGCCATTTTATCAGTATGACTCATTTCAAGCTACTTCTAAACTAAATTTTCAAGCTAGTTGTAAACAAAAAAGCTGTTTAGCTAAAAGCTGCTTAAAATCGATATTAAATTATTTTTATGGCTATGTTTATAATATGTAATATATTTATATCATTCAATCGCACTCTCTCTCTCTCTCTTTCGCTCTCTCACTTAGTAAAACATAACGAAATCATTTTAAATACTACCTTTAAACCAAAAGCTGCCTCGCTTAAGCGAAAGCTCATTCATTTATTGAAAGCTACTTAAGCTTAGCTCAATCACCGCGTATCACAGCAAATTTAAGCATATTTTTTTAAGTTCTGTTGCGCACCGTTATTGCATTTTGTCGGCTGCACTGCATTGGCTTGTGAAAGGGGATAGCCAGCCCCATATTTGCTGGCCAATGCTGTTGTGAGTGAGAGAAATCAAACTGTTGGCCCTTTTGTGTTTGGGCGCTTTATTCAAAGGGGTTTCAAGGGCTAACGGGGTCAGGCGTGGGCGTTCGGCCGGCTGGAGTGATGGTCACGTCAACCGAAATGCATTTTATAAATTCTGATTCTTTTTGTTGTGCGTCCTTTGCTGTTGCTGCTGCTGCTGCTGCTGTTGTTGTTGTTGTTTTTGTTGCTGCTGCGGCAACACGAAAAATTATTTACATAAATATCCGCGCTGTCAATTGTGTGTTGTGGCATGTAAAGTGACAGAAGCACACAAAATGG